GACCTGGAACTGTAGACGGAGGTCACATAGATATGTATGCGTATTTGTATATATGTACATTGTGTGTATGTGTGTGCATGTGTGTGTGTGTGTGTGTGTGTGTGTGTGTGTGTGTGTTGGTTAACAGTTAGGAAGACTTTGAGTTCAGCAATTGCTTCTCATGAGAGGTTGATGCTCCCTGATGGGAAAGTCAGCCTCCCTTTAGAGACTCTGTGCCCTAGATTGCACATCCAGAGTTTCTACTTACTGAAATAACTGTTTAGTTAAGTCAAGAACAAAGAAAACTTTAACTGGCTTTTATTTCACAGTGATGAAGTCTTCCCTTCATTTCTTTTTTTTTTAATATTTATTTATTTATTTATTTATTTATTTATTATGTATACAATATTCTGTCTGTGTGTATGGCTGCAGGCCAGAAGAGGGCAGCAGACCCCATTACAGATGGTTGTGAGCCACCATGTGGTTGCTGGGAATTGAACTCAGGACCTTTAGAAGAGCAGGTAATGCTCTTAACCTCTGAGCCATTTCTCCAGCCCTTCCCTTCATTTCTTATTGATGGAGTTCTATTTGCCCTTTCTTGGGGTGCATGTGTGTTTCCATTGCTGGGAATTTCCATGAGTTTCTATGAGTTTCCCTACTGTGGAATAATTCTTCTGTACACTGTTTGAATATGTCTCTATGATTGGTTTAATAAACAAGCTGACTGGCCAATAGCTGAACAGGATAAAGTTAGGCAGGAAAGCCAAACTGAGAATGATGGGATGAGGAAGGGTGAAGTCGGAGGAGCTACCAACCAGACAAAGAACAAGTGGGGCACATGAAATGGAATAGAAGTAAAAGCCACAAATCTTTGGGCAGCGCATAGGGTAATAGAAATGGGTTAAGCTGTAAGAGCTAGTTAATAACAAGCCTGAGCTATTGAGTGAGCATTTATAATCAATATTAAGCCTCAGAGTGGTTATTTGGGAACAGGTGGTCAGAACAGGACAACTCTGCCTACATTTCCCCTTACTTCTTAGTTCTTAACTCTCCTTTTAAAATCCTGTTATTTATTTATGGCTGTGATGAGTTCTCACTGGAGGCATGCTACAGGAACCTGGTACACTGCAGTTCCTATGAGCCAGAGGGCAGGGAAGCGGCTGGGACCGACTTCCAGGGGCCGTGGCCACCTTCCCTAGTCCTAGGAAGCACCGAATCTAGAAGCAAAGTGCTAGTGAGAAGGTAGGTGGATTGTCCTATAGGAGGCTAAGTTTCTAACAGTCCATGCCGGTCTGTAAACCTCGAGGATGAAGACACTTGATGACCTGTGGTGAGGGCTTCCATGCTCATAATGCCACAGGCAGCAGGAGGCACGGAGCTCTTCTGGTTTCTCTGAAAAGTCAAGAGGAAGATGAGCAAATGCCTGTGGACTGTTTGGTCCTAGAGTGATACCTTCTAACATGTTTGTAAAACACAAGGCCCATCAACACAGTAAACACATACATGTGAACCACGTCTCTAAAGTAAGTAGGTGAGCTTTCAGAAAGTAATCAGGGCTATCTCTTAATGTCAAAAACAAGTTGGTTAAAAAAAGGAGCAATACAAAATAAAGTTCTTTACTAAGCATTCTTTCCAACACTAGGCAAAGACTTCGACAAGCCTGAGATACAGTGATCTCACCAGCACTCAGAACTCTCTGAAACAGCCTTGAATTCATTTCCACAGACTTGTAAGCATTCCCAGCTATGAAAACACACACACACACACACACACACACAAACAACACACACACACACACGTACACGCACACACACACACACACCACACACAAGCACATGTACACACATAACAAGAAATAAAAAATAGAGATGAATATTCATCAATAAGAAATGGAGGAAAGGTTTCATACTGTGAAATGAACGCTAATTAAGGTTTTCTCTGTCCCTGGTTTAACTGAGCAATTATTTCAAGTTACCCGGTATTTTGTAAAGAAGATAGCACAGAGCACCTATCTGCTATTTTCTTTTTTTCTTGAGATAGGGAATTGTGTAGCTGAGGCTGGCCTGGAACTTGTTATGCAGCTCGGGATGGCCTCAAACTCATAATCCTCCTCTGCTTCCCAAGAGCTGGGGTTGCAGGCTTGTACCCGCACAGCCAGCCCAACCAATTTTTCATTTTATGTCTTCAACATGGTACTATATTACAGCTTCATATTTGGATTCATAACTAGCTCACAGAGAAAGTTATTAGAATTAATAACAGACAACAGAGAAACATTAAGGAAAAGATGGAAGAAAATGACCTAAACAAATAATAGAATAAACAAGAAACCCATTTTTGGTTCCAAGTTTGCCCACTAATCCACTTACATCACTTAGGGGCAATTTAATTTGGAAAGCATTTATTTTGCTTATGTGCCCTGCACACAGGGAAGGCCACACTGTTGATTAGCGTTACCATTACATATCATGTGTACCTAGAACTTCAAAGTGCAGTCTTTCTTTCAAAATTTGGTACTTTCTTTCTTTTATTTGTTTATTTTTATGTACATTGGTGTTTTGCTTGTATGCATGTCTGCTGTATGAGGGTGTCATCCTGTAGAACTGGAGTTACAGACAGTTGTGAGCTGCCATGTGAGTACTGGGAATTGAACCTGGGTCTTCTGGAAGAACCATCAGTGCTCCTAACTACTTGCCATCTCTCCAGCCCCTCAAAGTGCAATCTGATTTGGAAATGGTGCCACTGGGAGGTACTGAAGGTCATCCTCGATTAGAGATGACTGAATAAGAGACAAATCTGAAAACAGACAGAGAGGACACCACTATGTGAGCACACAGATACACAGGCGGACGAGGTGCTGACAGACACAGAGACTGTGTCAGACACAGAGACTGGAGGAACATATGGGCAAGACAACACAGGTCACGGGCTTCTAGTAACAGACTCCAGGACAAAAGCAGGAAATGGATTTCTTCCCAGCACCTCCAGTTGGTACCAATTAACCTTGCTATTTGACATCCAGAGTTGTAAGAGAATAATCTTTTTTGTAGGCACCCTGACTGAGGTACGTGGTCGTTGCACCCTGAAGAAATGAATACAGAGAGACAGACATGCAGAGAGGCCTAAGGAAAAGAGCAGAGACCAAGCGAGAAGGAGAACGAGATGGAATGTCAAAGCCCCATTCAATCTTTCTATTTAAAATATGAACTCAGAGCACGTTTAAGAGACCAGGAAGGAAAACCAAACAAAAATGGAAACCTAGAGTCTTGACTACCAAATCTGATTAGGGTTTAAAAATGCCCTCACCAAGGGAAGCCACACTGGTTTACACACGAGCCTTCTCACCAGTTGTTCTGATTATAAACCCACTCCCGAGCCCCAAGCTTCAGCCAGCTACTCTACTATGACCAACAAAGAAACTGCAATCCGTAGCCAGGGAAAATAATAGGAAGGAAATCACCAGGAGGCCGTTCCCACCTCACTTCCTCTCTGAAAGTCTCTGAAATTGCCACAGAAAGCCTGGCTTTAGGATGCTATCTAGGGTGTCAATGGACCACACACTTTCAAAAGATACATGCACTAAAAGGCAGTGGATGTGCACATCACCATCAGCCATGCCCACAGCATTCCGAGTGGCTTAGCGTGCACCTCCACATTTCTGCATACTAGTTCACCCCACACGCTTCCAGCATGACTGTTGGAAGTTGAGATTACAGTCAAGACATAGTTCTTCATATGACCTTTAAGCCTGTAAGGAAATTAGAGAGGAGAATCACCTTCATAATGGTAAATAAGAGAGTTGAACCAACAATGGGAAAGTATCAAGAAGTTGGTGCATATTGTATACTAAATAAAGAATTGCAAAGAATTTAAAATTCTTTAGATGCTTTGAAATTTTCTGCCTGACATTGAAGATGCACATGAGCACAGCTGATAAAATCATCCATCTTAAATTCATGGAGCTCTGCCCTGTTAGCGTTGACATCATTTTAAAATAGATTCACAAGAGATTTGTTTGACACAGAATTGCTTTATCAACATGCCATTCATAATCCAGTACTGATTATGTGAAATAAAGACATTTTTCATTTTTAAAAGTCAGGGTACTATGTAGCCCAAGCTGGCCTTAAACTAACAATCATCTCTCTCTCATGCTAGAATTACAGGCACCTGCCTAAAAACTCTTATTTCTAATCTGGATTCAGAATAAATCCAATCTGTTCCAAAGTAGCATAGGCAATTCTATTTGCCACTTCCACCCCTCTTGCTTTTTTCCCTTCATTGTTAGGAGATTTGTATCACTAAAGACTAGTGTTGACAGAAGGCAAGTATCAGCTTGCCATGCTCATATCATGAGAGCACTTTGCTAGCTGGGACACCAGAACTGCTTCCATAAAATGTCACTTAGTTCCCAAGAAGGGCCAGCTCCCAACACAAACAACCCCCAGCAATTTCTGTCAGTAGTCTCCAGTGCATCAGTGAAAATATTCCCTGAGACCAAGAATGTCTGAAAAGCTAGATGCTGTAAAGCCAGCATCCTCATTTCTCCACGGAGGCAAACAATGGGTCTCTCGACTCAAATGGAAAATGGCATCTTCTTTTTCCAGTTCCTAAAATGAGCACACTCACCTGCGTTCCAGATTCCCTGAACACCACATAACACCATTTCCTTCAAAAAATCTGTGGCAGACGTAAGACCAACAGGACTAACTAAATCCATTAGATGCCCCAAAGTAGCTCTTCCAGTCCTGAGGAAGGACCTCAAGTACTTGGCATTCAACCAAAGCACTTAGCAAAGCTTTTTGTTCAGATGTTCACTGACCCCAATAGGAAAGCATACGTTCACAGCTAGAGCTAACCCTCCCAAGCACCCAACAGGAAGGCGTGCATTCACACATAAAGCCAACTCTCCCAAATACTCAATAGGAAGGCATGCATTCACAGGTAGAGCCAACCCTCCCAAGCACCCAATAGGAAAGTATGCATTCACAGGTAGAGCCAACCCTCCCAAGCAATGGTACCTTATTCTGCTCACACACATATTGTATTCTCAGGGTGTCCATTGCTCTGATCATGGCTTGCATGGCGGTGAATATGTTTTGGTAAACCAGCTTGGTGAAGCCCTTTCTGTCTTCATCACTGTAGCCAGACCCATGGATTATCCTCATTTGCTTGATAAAGGTGCTTTTCCCACTTTCGCCAGTTCCTGAGAGAAAACATGAGTGAAGAACAGTTAGTGGAAGGACTCCCACCCTGAAACCCTGGTAGCGGAGTCCACACTGTGGGTAACGGGTTGGTGCAACGGGCTTGCAAAGAGTCTACCAGAAGCTTTATGAGGCAGTGCATCCCAAGCCCCAGGAAATGTCTTTCCATCTTCCTTTCCTGGAGACTTTGAAACAAGAACCGTGTGTTTGACCATCCTGAATACTGAGGCTTTGCTGCTCATATTGATGTTGACTATGATGGAGTCACGCCAGTGTGCAGGAAGGATCTGAGCAGCAGAAACACTTGGAGAAGAGGATGTACTGTGTCCTTGCACAATGGAACACCATTCTCAGTGATGCCCAGCATCTGTATGATTGCTGTTTCTCATATTCCAGTCTATATTTCACAAGGTCTCCAAAACTCCTAACAGTGGCCTGTGGCACCAAGAAGCAGAAATCATTGAACTGTCCCATTGATCTTTATTGTACAGGGAAATCCAGACATGACATACAGAAAACAGGATGCCAAGATTCCATATTTCTCTCAGGTTGAGATCCTGCTAGGAAGGTAGTAAAAATATTCATACAATGAAGCTCAAACATTTTCTAATATTGTCTGTGATAAATGGAATCAACTATATGAGATATTTATTCATAGTTGATTTCCAAATCTATGTGTTGCTTTAAAATTTTTATTAATAGTTTAGTTTATAAAGTTTCCAGTTGAAATGAAAGAAACTATCTCCAACCTAAAATTACTCATGCTATATAAATAAATGTACTTTTTAAAACACAAAGTACATTTCATAATTTCTTACAAAGAGAATAGTTATCTAGTAGTTTTTGTCAAAAGGGGATGTTATGTGAAAAAGCTCAACTAAAACATAAATTTGGCCATAACAAAGGTCAAAGATTATTTTTCATGAAATGATTAATTGTGACCCTCTATAGTGACTAACTTCCCAGTCTCAACACCACACCCAGATGTACAACTGTCACCCAGTTCTATCATCTTTGGTACTTTATTGACTCTTAGTGACATCCATGCCATGTGTTACTTGTAGAGATGTGTTTTCTGGAGCAGGAGGCTAGAGTACATAACAGTTACCAACTTGATAAAAGTCAGCACTTTTAAGCTTACATGGGCTTCCCTGCACACCTGACCAGGGCTCTGAAACTGTGATTAAGCCTGGAGCAAAGGCCCAAGTGACACAAAACTATGTTATGATTCTTCTGTTAAAAACAAATATTTAGGATTAACTTCGTCAGATCACACACACTTGCTCTTCCGTTTGTTTCTTCATTAAACCCTCAATGCATTCCCTTCCCCTCAAGACAGACACACAAAGGTGGGCAAGAAGGCCTGGTAGTGTGGGCCTCTGCCCTCAGCGGCCTTTCCTTACAGTGCAGTTCTACACTTTCTCTATCCCAGCCATGCTGGTCTGCCCTCATACAGCTCCTCCCGGAGCCCTTCACACAGGTGATCCCTCTTCCTGGCCTTTACTCTTGGCCTTGCCTGCTCTTCCCTCCCTGATCAGGATGCTTAGCACTCAGGGAATACACCTACCCACAACTATGATGGATTTTCCCACATGGATTAAATTAAGCAAGATACTCCCTCACAGCTGTTACCACAGGCTAGCTTTAATCTAGACAGTCTCTCACAGGTAAACCCGAAGGCCTGCCCCCTCAAAGTCAAGTTGGTAATACTAATCATTACACCAGGACTGGCTTTCCTTGTGCATGGTACGGTACCTGGCATTTGGTGCCACTTTGATACCATATTTATTAAGATAAATATTGACCTGTGCTTGATGTCAGTTGCCTTCCTCTCTTGCTCTCCACCTAATTCTGTTCATTTTGTTTGTTTGTTTTTTGAGACAGGGTTTTATCTGTGTAACAGCCCTACTGTCCTGGAACTAGTTCTTGAAGACCAGGCTGGGGTTAAAGGTGTGTGCGCCACCACTGCCCGGCTTCTCTCCAGCTAATTTTTCAAGTCAGGGTTTCTCACAGAATCGGCAGTCCCTGGAATTGGCTAGGCTAACTGGTAGGCCAGTAAGTCCAGAGCTCCACCTGCCTCCCTCTGACCAGCTCTGGGATCTTAGCCCTGTGCCACCATGCTGGCTTTTCACACAGGTGCTAGAGACAGGAATTCAGGTTTTCAGACTTACACAGCAAGTGCTGTATTGACTCAATCAACTCCCTCCCCAGGTTCCTTCTTAGCCATCTTTAACTGGACAGTTCAGTTCAGCCCTGTTAAATAATTCAGTGCTGTGCAATCAATTGCCAGACCCTTTCACTCCTACAAAACTGAGCCCCGCCCCGGCCTTGGGAAACTCCCTTCCTTTCTGCTTGGTCAGTCTGACCATTCCTGACACCTTCCCTACATGAAGTTATACGGTCTTTGTTCTTTTGTGGCTGGCATATTTCAGGTAGCATCCTCAGGGTGTGTCCATGTTATAGGACACTCAGCAGTCCTTTTATGAATAGCAAATCTCTGAATTTTTCAAATACAAGATATTTCAAAAATCCACCAAAGTGCCCCTTATCTATACTACCCAACATATGGGAAAATAGGATATGCCAATTCTCTGTGCCCAGCCCTGTGCTCCAAGTGTGTCGAAGGACTCCAGACATGTCGATAAACCCTAGAAGGAGCCATATTCTGCTAGTCAGTGACCTCTTCTGTGTGCTCACTGGATGCTGATACAGACAAATATTGAAGTGGTCACAGTGCTGTGGACTCTACCCAAATCATCTCCTTTCATCTTCGAAGCACTCTGTGAAATAAGGACAGCCGTGTGCAGTAGGCAGGTGAGAACTCTGGGCTGTAGACTGGTTATGGAAAGTCCCCAAGCACACATAGTGAGCAAGACCTGAACTTGATTCTCTTGGACTCCACTGACAGGTTCTACTGTCAGAGAAGACCTGGCTCATAAACCAAAGGACCTGGTATATGATACTGGGCAAATTTTAAGTCCAGTCACACACTATGTAAACCCCAGCCAAACCACCATCGTGCAGATACAGCCTGCCCAGGTCCTGCTGGGATGTGCTCAGAACCTTCTTGGGAAGCTCCCCATGGCCATGTGGAGTCAGGGTCGGTGCTTTTCTTTCTGCTATTCTGCTCTTCTGTTAACTGGGTTCTCCTTTCTTCATCCAAAGAACTGAACAAAAGCGGAGCAGAGTACAGACCCCTCTCCTAAAGTTTACTATCGTAGCCTGGCCCAAAGTTCTAGGCCAGATCAGATCTCAATTCCCACAGAATTCTGGGATGTGTGTTCCCTCCTCCCCCGGGGTTACAATATTCTTGTAGGGCTGAAGTTCTGGTCTGGTGTCAGTTCATCCCAAACGAATTTTGGTAGTCCTGTGTTTTACAGATGAGGAAGCTAATGTGAACGTGGAGACTGCGTAACTGCTTTCAGCAAGCTGTAACTGTGACCTTGAAGCCAGAACACTCACTCCTGACAGCCAGAAATTCTACAGCAAGATAAGGAAGCTCCCAGGAGCAGAAGTCATTAAAAAAAAATATTTAGAATAGTTTTAAGATTAAATGAAAAAGTGCTTAACAATATAATTATTTAAAAATACTCTTTAAATATTTGGTTTCAAACGGCAGTTGTTCAGTTAAACACACGTGCGTGCACACACACACACATGACAAAATCACATGGGTTGGAGGCAAAGAAGAGACTGATGATGCCGATTACTGAAGGCCACGATGGAGAAAACAGAAATCATTTGGGGGGCATGCTCTCACTCTCACTGAAGCTGCCGTACAGCCCAGCTGGTGCCATCCCTCTCCAGAGGAGAAACACAAGAAATCATCCAGATGAAGCAGGTTGTTCAAGTTTGAGCAGCGTGCTAGTGTTGGCCTGGGTCTGCATCTAGGTCTGCATAGGTGCTTTTCCCATGACAGTTTGGTACTTTCCTAAACAAAGGGCCTCTTCCGTACACAAAGTGATCACAACAGAGGAGGCTTGCTCTCTCAGAGGGCTGAACTGTCCTGGAGCTGAGAAGGCTCCAGCAGCAGGGGGCAGCAGGCAAGAGGGAGTGAGGGCAGGTAACGACATCTTGCTTTCTATAATGGCAGCTGTGGCGAGCAAGGGCTGCAGGGACTGATGGGCTCAAGCCAAGGATCTGAGCTGATCCATTTACCTGCCCCAAACAGAAACTCCACCTGAGGGTTTCCCGCATTCATGCATTCATGCATTCATTCATTCATTCATGGAAAACAAAAAGAACACCCAGAGGCCTGATCATGGGGATGAGACTAATAGTGGCTTTTCCAAGGTGGGTTTTCATTGAGGAGTGGGTGGCTTAGCTTTTCCCCCCTACTTTAGCCAATTACCTTCTAAAGCATGGGTTTGGGCCCTTGGTGCTGGGCTAAATGTGTCCCTCCAGAATGAGCCTGCTGGGGCTCGTCCTGAGAATGGAAAAGAAGAGGAACCCACAGTTCACAGCAGAGTTTTGGTCTAAACAGGGGCCAAGGATTTTGACTGGAAAGTGAATTTTGATGGGTCTGATGGGGGCCTCCTCCCGGGCAGCTTTTCACCCAGACTCAGCGTGTAGCAACACAGAAGAGGGAAAGAATCAACTAGCGGGTCCATTTTTAGCTTCAGTTTTCAATACAAATAAGGGAAACAGCACAGGGAATCGGTGCTTCTCTGTTTAGTTTCCATTTCTGCATTTCCATATTTGAAATAAAATCCAGTGATGGCTGCTAAGTAGAGTCATAAGCCACTACACGACATCCCAGCCAACAGAGAAATAGCAGTCTACACACGGGTGTCATATATGGTGAACTATATCAAACATCCATGTACATGACAGGCTCTAGGAGTAAAGTGAGGCTGAAAAATCCCATCATGCTTTGTTGTCACTATTTACAGCTGAGATAGGCTCAGATGCACACACACCACTGGGTTACAATGGCCTGCAGTATTCAGGACAGTGGTATGTTGCATAGATTTGCAGACTATACACACAGCCTGGGCAGGTA